CCATTTCATCAAGATGCAGTAAATACAATCTTATAGTTACCTTCAAAACATGCTGCCTGCAGCTCTTGGCACAAGCAAGTCCAATTTCTTCCACCCCTAAATCCCCAATTAGCAATCTCCCTGCATTTCTGAAAAGGTGTGTCATCAAGGAGAATATTGTATGTTCCAGAAAACTTTGGAGTAAATGGCCACCCAAACAGATTGAGTAGATCCTCAGTCACAATCTCATTAATCAGATCTAATCATTCCCTCCAGACATTGCAAGAGAATACTCTGACTCCACTTTACATGATCAAATTTCATTGCTATAAAAAGATAAGTGAGGAAAAACAGTTATTGGCCAAGACAAATGCAGGGTGGTTTGCTGATTGGTTTGATACCAACAAAGAAGTTACATTTTTCTTCTCATGCAATCTTCTATGCAATATTATTTATATTTATTTTGCTTTAAAATGTGTGCACCATCCTTCAAAGTAACATTTTTCCAGGCAGTTTACATGTACACATGTAATTCACAATAATTACCACACACATCTCTCAGATAGGCAATAAAATAAAGATAATCATTAAAATATGTAGTGAAGTAGACAAAACAACAGCCAGAAAATTTAAAATGCTGCAATGAAGCATATAAATTCAACATTAACAGAATAATATATCTTGGAAGAATAACTTTATCTTTGGTGCCCCAAAGTCAATAAAGTTGATGCCTACTTAAATCCCTCTTCAGGTATTCTGAATTGTGTCTTTGAATAAATGTGCAGGTACTTGAGAGAAGAAACTATAGCACATCTGAATAATGTTACAAACTTATGCAATGGGGTAAACATAGTGATAGGGACAACTCGAAATCTATTCAGTGGAAGAGGCATAAATAATTATTTTTCAGATCGTACCATCAAATCTCAAAAGCTTTAAACTGAATTCAAATTCAAAACAATAAGCAATTAAAAAATTAGGTGCTTGTACAAGATCTCACAAAATAAACTGAGCAAGGTGGTAAGATTTGGAGCAACTTTTGCTTGTCTTGAACCTCTGCACCTTGATGAGATTGAGCCATAGCACCCAAGAACATAAGATAGATGCCAAACCCTAGAATAAAAGCTTCCCTCAATGTAATTTTATAAAAGGGGTGATGCTAGCTAGTGCAGAACTGTGTCTAAGAGACCTAAATGTTGTGGAGGAAAAACTTTCTTTCCTTTCCTTTCTTTTCTTTTCTTTTTTAAACAGTTGTTTTTGCTTATTTTTTTATGAAACTAGAAAAGATATATTTTGGTTATGCACCATTTATCTCATCGTTACAATAGAAAAGCAGAAAGCAAAATTAAACAATAATGACATTCTTGATTGTTTACACATTTCCGAAAATGTATACTGGTTATAGAGGCTGCATCAGCCATACTCCTGGGGAATATTTGGGATTTTCCAATGTATAGTTTGAAAGCTGCTTAAAAATATACAACCATGGAGAGCTCTCTGATTGATAGTTGATCTAGTTGTACAAAACAACTTTGCTACTTTGCAATATTGAAATAATGTTGAAGATTCCTCTATGCAAGTGAGTAAAGTGGGTTTAGTCAATTTGTGGAGAATACAAAATAACAAAGTTGGAAGGAACCTTGTAGATCTTCTAATCCCAACTCCCTGCTCAAGTGGGACACCCTACATCATTTCTGACAAATGGCAGTCCAATCTCTTCTTGAAAGTCTCAAGTGATGGTGCTCCCATAACTTCTGAAGGGAAGCTATTCCATTGATTGATTGTTCTCACTCTCAGAAAATTTCTCCTTATTTCTAGGTTGAATCTCTCCTTGATCAGTTTCCATCCATTGATCTTGTCTGGCCTTCAGGGGCTTTGGAAAATAGATTTTCTCCCTCCTCTCTGTGACAGTCCCTCAAATATTGGAATAATGTCACCCCTGCCCTTCTCTTCATTAGACTAGCAATGTCCAGTTCCTGCAACTGTTCTGCATATGTTTCGGCCTCCAGGAAGCAGGATCAGAGTTGATGGCTTTATTTTCCAATTTTGATGAACTGAAATTGTCTGCATCATCTGTACTGCATGAGCTTCAATGGATTCACTTTGC